AAATGATGTAATTTGAATATAAATTATTTATAAATACGTATGTCAAGTTATATTTTTATTACTACGTAAAATATATTTAAGAGTTTACGACCACTGTGCCGGGTGAGACGTTGTTGAAACAAAAAAAGTTATGCATTCCATCACGTACATAAACAGTGTCGTAATTCGCCAAGTGCAAATCAGCAAATTCGTAAAATTTTTGTTTATTTTGAACAATCCGGATAATCGAAAATCCAGATAATGGAGGTCCGGATAATCGAGGTTCTACTGTATTAGTATGGGAGGCAATCTCCCTGTAAATGGAGTTGAGGTGGTGGTTGTACTCAACCACCACACGAGACTGTATGCTACTTATGTTGTGTGTTCCGTGCGTCACTACCCGTGTGTTAGAAGTGTAGTTAGCGGCCATTCTTGTGGAGTATGCGTGGGAAAGGTTGTGTACCAGGCTCCTGCTATATCCGTGCTGTAATGCTATGTTCTGAATGCGTTCTAACTCCATCTCAGTGTCCTCAGATCTAGTGTGGTGTGTAAAAGCCCGTTTTATTAGGGCCCAAAAAGCCGCAATCTTATAAGAGTATGGGTCCGCAGAGTTGGCGAGGATGAACAATGGCTTATAGCATGACTTGTAATATACCTTCGTTACCACCCTAGTGCCATTAAGTTGCAGGTAGATATCCAGGAAATGTGCCGCAGTATTGCTCATCTGATCCAATTTGAGGGTGAGGCAGTAAGGATTGCTATTCATTGTGCTTATGAAATTGTTTATGTTCGGTTCCACTTTCCATAGAATACATATGTCATATATATATCTCTTGTACATGTAAATGTTGGAAACGAACTTAGGTATGACCTTTCCCTCGAGCTGCCTTATTACCAACTCGCACAAATCCCCAGAGAGGGGGCTGCCCATGGGTACGCCACGCTTTTGTAAATACATATTGTTGTTAAAGCGGAAAAAGGAGGTGTGACATAGAATGTGCGCCAGCTCTAAAACGTGCTTACGATGTGCAGTGGCACCAGGTTCACTAAGTAATAGATCCCTAATCGCACAGAAGCATGATTTTATTTTGATTGATGGATATAGATACAAAGTCAAGGACTGTGATGTACGCATCCTCTGTTATGGTAAGAGGTCGCAAGGTATCCATTAAATCTGTGGAGTTTTTGATTATCCACGGATAATTACTCAAGCTTACACGTATTCGTTTGTGCACAGCTGAATCTAACAAATGCATCGGGAATCTAGCCTTATCAAGAACAGGTCTGAGGGAAGGCGATTCTTTATGCGTTTTAGCGAACGCAAAAAGCTGGGGGGTGTCTGGTGAGGCAACCACTGCCCTGTTTAAGCTCCATTCTTTAGCAAAGCGGGTTTGTGTGAACCTTTTTACCCGCGCTTGTAGCCTATTTACATACAATTCATCGATGGGTTCGCAGTCAGTGTCCACTATGTACGTCTGCATTAACGAATTGTAAGTGTCCTCTTTCAATAAGACAAGGGCCCTGCTTTTATCCACCTTGAGGACGATGATGTGTTGTTCTGTTAACCATTTCTTGGATCTAGAGAGCAGTTTCCAGAAACTATGATTCCGGTTTCGGCTGTTGGATGATCAGATAACCTTTCCTGCGCATACGCCACAAGAATGGCCGCTAACTACACTTCTAACACACGGGTAGTGACGCACGGAACACACAACATAAGTAGCATACAGTCTCGTGTGGTGGTTGAGTACAACCACCACCTCAACTCCATTTACAGGGAGATTGCCTCCCATACTAATACTAAGATTACATACAAGAGGCCAAACACGGTATATGAACTACTCCGCAGTGGCAAAGACAAGATAAATAGAAAGCAAGCACCAGGTGTTTACATGGTCCCGCTCTGGGATGACAGGTTTCAAAGGGAATTAGTTTATATTGGGTCAACAAAATTCATTGAATCAAAGCTCATTGAATAAAAGATTGCAGGAACACAATTATGATATCGTTAATAAAAGGCACACCACCGCCCTTTCGACATATGCGACTGAACCCGGCATAAGAGCTGACCTGCATGAGGCCAAACTGATTAAACTTTCTCACCGTGAAGAACACTTACGAAACCTTGAGGCACTTGAAATTTACAAGGCCGGGTTA